ACAACCCCCCCCCCCCCCCAGCTGTTTCGTCATCGAATTCCTAACTTTTTCTGCTTTTTATGGTCTTGATACTGCATCTAGCTGGCAAAAAATGGAGCAACATGCAAGGCTAATCTTCCACAATAATACTATATTATGAGTTTTAAATGTCCATCAAAATGTTATTTCCCTGTATTTAAATTATGTTCACCTAATATACTAACATTTAGTAGCTTCATTGCAGTAGTAAGTTTGTGTACTACAGACAGATAGATACGATAGATAAATACTTCGGTCTGAATCACACCAAGGATAACCCAGGAAGTCTGAAGACTTGTTTCGGGGTCCTTCTGGTGGTGAATTGGGCAGTACGCCGGGAGACAGTCCTCTACTGTTTTCCGAAGAGTGTACTGCGTTCTTTATTGCACACAGGACCAATGGCTTAAACATCTCATCCGAAAGATGGTGCGCTATCTTAACTTGTATTCAGCCCTCCAGCTGAAACGCAAGGAGAGCAGCGATGGCAATTGAACCGGGGATCTAAGGATCTCCACGGTTCAGCGCACACACAGTGGCTACCACCAGATTAGCTGACTGAGCTAAGCTGCCTCAGGCGATCTGCACATAAGATGAACATGATTTTATCAATCTAAAATTTGTATGTTGTGCGTATAACATGACCCCCAACCCCTGTTTTTCGATCGTAATTTGCTATTTTAAGCATCATCTAGTAGGCTAAAATTAAAATATTTACGTTATTGGCGTGTCCTACTATACGTGTGTTGTCCGACAAACGCGTTTAATGTTTAAAATGTTTTAATGTTTAAAGTGTTTAATGTTTAAAAACAACTACTGTAAGTTATAATAAGTGCCGAACCCAGGCCCTTGGTATTTGAAAGCAGGCACTGACACACAGTCATAGTTACACTTTACCTAATTTTGAATATGAATGCCTCTTAAAATTTTTGAATTAGTTCAAATCTAAATGGGAACATGTCTTTATAGATTAACATCTTTGCAAATGTGTTATAAGGGAAAAAAATGTTATGAAGAACAATTTTCATATATATTTCAAAGAATCATATCCAGTGAAGAGTGTGTGGTTTCTATTGATCTGAACTCAATCAATTATATAAATACAGTAACTACTACTCTCATTTATTGGCATAATTAGAAAGCTGATGACGCAAAATGAACAACTACCTCAACTATAAAAGACGTAAGGAATGGGATGCCACTGAAGACAATTGACAATACTAGTACCATGAACTACTTAAATTAACTATAGAATTTTAAGCAAGTGAGGGCGCCATATGAGATATTTGATGTCTTATTATATGACCTTTCACTGCCAGTTGATGACAGCTTCATTAAATGCATGATGTAACATATAAACTATATATATTGATAAAGCAATATCCTATAATCCTAAGTTAAGTTAAGTTAAGAATCCATATATTAAAAATTGTTAATCCTTTATGAAAACATTTAAAATAATTCTAGTTGTTACACAATTGATTTTAATTTCATTACATTCTGAGATTTCTGAATTGGGCATTATTAGATACAATGTCTTCATAAAAATGATTTCTTAAAAGTTTTAAAACTTATTATTTCCCTGACTGTGTCTTAAATCAGTTTTCAGAAGAAGCAATCTAATTGGCTGATTACATATTTCAACTTTGTCCAATAAAAATGCAATCTACAGCTGCACTAAATTCATGACATCATTAAATGAAAGAAAGTGACATATCCAAAACACAGAGGGCAGCAGACATGTTATCAGCATCATCATAAAGTGAAAAAATTGTTCTGGTATTTAAAATACCATCATCATTAGCAACATATTGTTCATTACCAATAAATTCCTTTCTAGAAATCTAACCAAACTTCAAAAACAAATGTCACAACTGACTGCCATTGCCTCATGTCTTATATTCATAACATATTTTGATCCATTAAGGAATGCAAGATATGTAATTTTGTAATCCAAAGTAGTTTTGACTAAACAGTCGAAAAAGACATAAAAAAAGATATTATACCCGTGAAATATATTTGCAAGCCTTGAAATTAATAAATTTCCTTAATTCAAATTATTCAACTAATTTATAAACATTAATTTAGGCAATACCAATGAATATTTTAATTAAATCAAACAATGTAGTTATGAAAAGAAAAAAAAAAGTAATGAATACATTAGGATTTGTGTTTGTTGTTCTCTTTTATCCCGGAGCATAAATCATAAAGTTGATTGGGTACAAATAAATAATTGGTTTGACATTTAGAAATCACGATAGGAAAGTTGAAATCAGAAAAAAATTAAATGGAATCAATCCTTTTTAGTTACCGCAAACATAATTGAACCATGCACGTATCAATTAATTAATTGTTGACTGTAACGTATCAATGAATAAAATCCATCCATACAATATGTGATTGAAGGTCTGCTTTTTAATTAAGGTATGGGCTATATCTTATATAAGAATGAATAATAATAATAATTAAAATCATTGAAATTCTCGTCAGACGACGAATTACCTCTAAAGTTTACAAATTATTCCCAACGACAAACTATGATGTAATCTATACCGGAAAGTAATCAATGATTTTAATTGAAAACATTGATGAATGTTTTGATTTATTGACAACACATTTTTAATGTTACTAGCTATTAGAAGTTGATAATGAAATACGATAGAAATTTGACTATCAGTTTGTATTGATCTATTAATTGGTTATCAATCACTTTGCCAATAACCATAGCAACATGAGACAATGTCAAATAATGCATGATGAATATATTTGTTAAAAGTCTATGTCTCTCAAAAATAATTAATCAGTTTGTATTCATTACATTTTAATCAAAAATTAAAACTTTTTTTAGTAGCATACTGAATACGAATAAAACTTGGAATTAGACCTGAAAATACCTAAATAAACAATGAATTGCTCATTAAAGGATCAATAATTTATCACTTTCATATTTGTTGTAAATTTGATTGATTATATTGCTGATGTTATTTTTATTATTAACATTTTTATTTTAATTAAAATCATTATTACTACTACTTTTTTTTCTTTTTTTCCTTTATGTGTATCTTTTTTGTCTGTTTTTTGGAATTTTTTATATATACAATTTTGTATTTTTCAATTAATAACTTTTTTGATATGATCTCCTAAATTAGTTGATTAAAAAGAGTTTCTTTTTTTTTTTTGTATAATTCTTCCAAATTTCTTTCTTTTCATTTTATCTTTAAAAATTGTTTTGTATACTTTTGGTCCCTCTCTGTTTTCATAAACATAAACCCAATTAAGTTTCTTGTAGGTTCTTTTTTGTCATTTTAATTTTTTTTTTAAATATATATTTTACTGTACTTATTTTTTGCAATTGTTTTATGGACGATGAATAAAATATTTTTGTATTTGTATGAGACAAAGTTTAAAAAAACTATGTTTTTCCTGATTTACAGGTTTTTACTATGATAATCTAAAAGCTCCATTCCCACTACCAAATTTTATGTGTGACAAATAAATAACGTCACACAAAAGTCATAGTGTGGACAGAGATTTAAATTGATTACCAGCCAAGATAAACGATGATATAAAAAAATAGGAAGAGTATCATTTATGCATAGCCTGTTGATTGCTAGGAAAGTATATCTTCTCACTTTAAATTACAACTGTAAGCTTATTCATTTAAAATATACAGTGCAAGTAATTAAATTTAAAGTTAATAAGGTTAACACAGTCGCTTATCTTTAATTTATTCATAATCGGTAACATATCCAATAATATTCACTGTAGCAAGTTATAAATAGATTAATTCAATGTCAATGAATATATTAAATGTGTATTTTACAATTATTATTTATATTATTACATAATTCATTATTATCTTGAATTTATTAATAATCTATATATTTTTATCAATATCAATTAATCTATATTTGTTTTTTATAGTCAGCATGTATAATGTTAATGAATACATTAACATTTTAAAATAATGTATAAAATAAGTTAACAGTGTTTGCATCAAATATGTAATTGCTTGTAAAAATAATAAATCATTAATAGAAATAAATCAATTTGCCAATAACTGTAAAACTGTCAAACAAAACTACAGTACAAGTTATTGATAGCTCCAAAGTGATTGATTCCAAAAATTAATTTCTTATCTACCTAACCGATCAATTTATCAATAAGAGAGATTACAAAATACTTACTGCGGAAGCAGCGGATAGACACCTCTGCAACCGAAGCTGTTCCTTTGCGTGCTGTCGAACAATTCGCTCTAACTCGTCCTTTTCCGAATACATCTTGCTGTTCTGGTGGAGGAAAGAATGATAAAACGTCAGCAATTTAACACAGATTGTGAGCACGACAAACCTGTCTGATATATCACATTTAACTCATTGCACTCGCATTGCAATTCCAGATTTTTTGCCTTTGACTTTCTAAGCTACAGCTGTAATGATGATTGCATGAAAGAGAATTTCATGAAAACCACTCAAGAACGTCAATTCCTCAAAATTTTTTTTCACAAATAATAAAAAATAAACGCAGAAAATTGTTGATATGTCTGAAGTGTGAAAAGGGGCTCATGTCTAATTAGGAGAGCTTCCGTGGATAATTTTTTCTCTGACAAATATGTTAAACATACCAGTTATAAATTTCTTTAAATTTCTATGTACTTCTGTTAACTAAAATCAAGAGCAACCCTATCAACAGTGTTATTTATCATCAAATGTATGACTATTATTATTTAATTATGTTGCTATACATAATACAATATCTAAGATTAAAGGTTTGTTTTTTTTATAATAAACAGTTCATTATGATTTCCAACTAAGCTTTTCGATAAATTGTTTGTCAAACTTTCGAAAACTTTTTTTTCCCTCTATTATTATTGTAACTAAATTATATAATGTAAACTCTGATATTGACTATCTTCCCTTTAAAGAAAACAAAATAATGTATACATTTTGAATTAAAGTATAATCTTACACTAATGAATTTTGAATTGTTACTGAAGAGAAGTGAACAAACACTAAAAAGTTACTTGAATTTGAAACAAGGAAAGCACATTATAAAAGTCAATCAACATTTGTCTGTTCAAGTATTATGTTATCATAACTATTAATATAACTGATATATTAATCTATCCATCCATTGATATTAAACAACGTTGATGTGAGAAATAAGTGACAGCATTCCAATACTATATTTAACCAAAGTTTAAAGTAATAAATTACAAAAGTTAGTTAAATTAAAATGATACAGTTTTATTCCTGTAATTATTCTCTATCTAGAAATAAAATTATAATTGAATAGTATAGTATCATACCAATATGTAAATGACCATCACAGCCCATCAAAACATGGAAAGTTTTAGGATAAATTATTTGGCATGTCGAAAAGCCACTTTAAATGATAATACCCAGCATTTGAGTGAACTGAACCCTGTAATCATCAAATTGAGGAAGAGTGCTAATCTATTTCTACCACATGTCTAATGACGCATGCATATTGCTATCTAGCATTCCTATTATATTACAAACATGGTTCATTTAACACAGCTTGTGTATATATTCTGAGGACAAAATAAATGTTTGGAGATACACAAATGCAATTACCTATCTACACAATCTCCCAAAAAATAATAGAAAAAAATTTCAGAAATAAACTACAAATTTCCTAAGATAATCTATATAATTAACATAATAAAAGTACAGTAGAATCCCTCCTTTGGGACACACCTATTAAGGGGAGACTTTTCTTGGCTGTAAAGTGAGAGAAATGTATCCTTTAACACTATGACCAACCCCTATTAAGGGGACACTTTCCTTTGGTCCCCAAGGAAGTGTCCCTTTAATAGGGGGTCTACTGTATTCGTCAAATTTTAAAAAAAGATAAATTAAATAAATCTGCCATCGTCACTGATAATAATGACGATCGCAGACATTCCAAACATTATATAACATTATCAAACTTACTCGGACATTTGGATCTGGTTGCCTGCTGGAGTTCTGCAGCCTATCGACAGCCTGCCGGAGGTCAGATATTTCCTTATCCTTAGCGAGAAGTTTCTGAGCATGATCAGCTAAGTCCTTGGCACGCTGCCGTGCGAACACACGTTTGTAATGATCAAGATCATGTGAACTTGGCTTCGAGCTGTCATTTCTCTGTAAGAACAATAAATCAATTTTTGTATTAATAGTTATGATATAATCAATTCTGGTTTCCTGCAAGAATGTAGTTTACAAAAAAATAACAAGGCTGATATATATCGACCAAATATTTTGAGTTTGCTGTTTACAACATCAGATTTGTAATGTCAGTTTTATCTGAAATTGGCTAGATTACTAACGATCTGATTGTAAAATTTAGAGAATATGAGATGACCTAGAAAAATCATTAATAATTAAATGAAAACCTAATTACAACACTCACTGCAAATATCCTTTTATAGGAAGCCTAGAAAAAGCAAGGCCAAACCATATTAACGCTTCCCAGAAAATATGAGAATAATCCCCAATTAAACTAAAATGGCTAAAATGCTGACAACAAGACCTAAATACAAACTGAAGTCCTTGCTAAATAATTAAAACACCTTTACAAACTCTGATATTGAGACCAAATTTTGATTAAAAAATCAAATTGTGCTCTGACAACACCCTATTGAAAGCTAGGTCCTATTGCAATTACCTTAGCATACCCCAGTACAACCTGGGCCAAAATGTGATTCATTTAGATTTGCTTTCCTGCTATCACAAACTTGTACCGGATCAAAATCCAAGGGTGACATATATTCATAATATTGGATCCAATTAACATTTCCTATTATCTCTCAAAAATTGAAGGTCAATGTTTTTGCTTCAAATATTACATCTAGCAAGTTTCAGAATGTTCAACTGATTCATTATTCGATACTTTTTGCACTCGGTCTTTTTGTTGTCGCTGTTGTCATTGTCATTGTATTTGATGTTTTGTTTTTTTCTGAAGTTAATTCTGCATGTTTTGGGAGACTTGGACATTTGTTATATTTCACTCTTTATATTGTTATATTACATTTTGATGTTACTAAACCTGAATAAATAATATAAAATAAATAAATAAAAAAGTTGAAAGTTGTATGTTACTTAATTCTGCCTGTGAATATAAATGTAGCAACATTATGAATTTGGAAAGTTGGGTACAGTAGTAACAGCACGGCAGTGGCAACACCAGTCATATACAACAGTAGTAGTAGGCAAGCACTGGTAAAGAAAATCGGAGTGGTAGTAGAAGGGTAATATGCAGGAATATGCAGTAGTAGCAATAGGAATGGTAGGTAGCAGTATTAGTATTAGTGGCAACAAGGATAAGGTAGTATACAACAGAGATAAGTAGCGGCGATAGAGATGGGTAGTAGAACCAACAGGACTAGTGGCAGCAACAGGAATAATAGCAGCAAGCCCGTAGCCAAGGGAGTTCGAAGGGTTCGAAGCAACCCCCTTTTTTTTAAAGAAGTGCCCTTTTGAAAGTGTATGTAAAAAATTCTAAAGTGACAGTTGTGGGCATCTATGGATTGACGTCATGAAATTAATACTTTGTAAAAACTGTCATTGGTGACAAGCCCAACATTTGGACTTTGCATGCATATTTCCCCATCAACCATTTTTCATAATATAATTACTAAAATTCGCCCTCTTCTGAAAAGATCGAAAAATATATAAAAAAAATTGTTAATTCATATGCAATTCAGATAGGTGTTGCAATTTATGCATTTTGCTGTCAAGCTTACATAAATATACTGGTACCTCAAATAAATAATAGTATAGTATAATAATGTAACTAAGACTTCAATGCACTTTAAAAAAGTAGATGTAAATTTATGTGATGCTTCTCTATAATGAACGATAAAATGTCTCCACAGAAGCTGTTTAGAAAAATATATATATACTGTTGATGATTTCAACTAATAATGTTACTTTACAAGAGTGCATGTTTTCTTAGCTAAGACACGGTATCAAATCTCCTGAATTAGGTTATTGGAAATTAATGAGGAGGAAGAAGATGCAAAGACAATTAGGCCGAGAAACACTGATTTGGTCCAGGACTCAATAATACAGCGCTGGGAATTGATGGCCGAGACTGATGCGGATCTTCAGAATCAGATTATCAACATTATTTAACAGAAATTAAACAGACATGTTACAAATTCAAAACAGCATGTCAGCACTCATCTCATTAAGTAGAAGTTACTACACATAATGCACGAGTCTCACGCATGGGCATTCACTTGTTACGTCTCACGCCTACGTTGTATTATCTCACGCATCATAACAAATTTATAAAAGATGAAATGTATAGGCCGATTATATCCTAAAATTCATAAAAAATGGAATGAATGAATATAGGCCCTATAAATTTCTTTTAACAAAGCTATAGACCGACCGACGACTGTAATCAGTAGCATGGTTTCCACCATAATTTTTTAAAAGTAACATAGAGGGTGCTATAATTTGCATGCATCAGACGACAACAAAATTGGCAGGTACATTACTACCAGGTATACTCAGGTGCTATTTAATCAAAATCTGATGGGAATTTGACAAGATTTCTTCATCCAAGTCATTTAGGAAAAAGTTGCAGATGAACAATTGTTTTCAATTTTGAAATTCTATTTTATAGAATAAGTTATTAACATGACCACAAACCTAATCTATGGTGAAATAAAAAAAAAAAAAGAAACACAAAAAAAAGTTTATGCAATTATACAATTTAATCAAGTAATACAAAAAAAATTAATAGTAATTGCACTATCTAAATGTCTGTAGTCCTAGTACAGTTACAGAGAGGGGGAAGGGAAAAGAGTTTCCTGGGGCCTAGACTCAAAGGACCGGGGACACATTTTGGGGGAAAAAAAGATAGATAAAAGAATATTGAAAAAGTAATTTTTTTTTTTTTTATGACTAACCTATTATCATGTATATTAGACATTTTAATATTGCTGTAAATTCTGCAGGCTTTGTCCTAAACTGCAGTCTGCCACTTAACCCTGCGAGAACCCTTAGGAAGCACCGGTCCCTTAATTGAGTCCTGGCAGCTTAGTGAAGCATCCGTGTCTTAATAATGCAGTAGATCGCACTAAAATAATGCTCTCTGTTGCTGGCCCTTGTACCAGAGCAAACAACTATGAATAAATATAATATGGCTAATTACCACATGAATATAAAAGGAAAAGAGGCATGCCAAGGAGATGTCAGAGGGATCAATTTTGGGACAAGTATGGCCAAGAACAGATGTAAATGGAGGAGTTTGAGGAGGTCATATAGACAGAAGTGGTAACGGCTAATGATCATGTAACTGATCATTATCTGTTACTACTATAGAGACTCATGGATTTTAAAGATCCTTGCCAAAGGACAGAAGCAACTTCAGCACAGCAAGTACTTCAAAACTCAAGCTTAAGCACCCGAGCAACAACCTCTTGCGCTAACTGCTTCCACACTGTCTGATACAGTTGAGCATGAGACTCCAAGACATAATCAAAGATACACTATCAAACAAAATCTGAACAGTATGATACACATACAAACACACAAATTATAGTGTCCTTGGCTTTAATAAACTATAAAAGAATAATTCCATAATTTCCATAAATACTAAATTTCAACTGTTTATGTAGCACTTTTTAAAACAAGCCCTAAAGGCTTAGAGGCTTATTCATCTTTAATGTACTCATATAGTATATTCAAATTTAAAATGTTTCATCTGTATTTTTCATTAGAATATCTATTAACCCCTTTAGCGACTCCCATTATCAGACCAGGGCTAGCTCAAGGGGACATTTGTCACTGCCAAAATGTCAACAGTGATTCTGAAAGAAGGAAATTTAACTTCACTGATTTGTGTATGTGAATTTTTTACTGGTTTTATTTGTATATTAAAGTTAGTATTATTTTCCAAAATGAATTATTATTTTGACATCTAATCTTTCCACTTGACTATTTGAATTAATTTCATTTGACATCTTCATTGATTTATGTTGATAACTTTTATGTTGAGATTCATATGTTAAATAAAGTATTTTTTGAATTAAGAGACGCTTACTATAAATTAAAAAAAAAACAAAATTTAAGTATTGTGAGTATTTTTTGTGTAAATTTTTATATTCAGTGATAACTTTACTGTTTTTATTCTATTACCATATTTATACTTTTAAATTTGTTCAATTTACTATAATTATTTGGCAATAAAACTGTTAATTGAAATAAATATAATTAATAAAATCATTATTTTGATAGTATAAAATGGAAACTGCATCAACTGCATTTTATATATGGACGAAATAATTATCTGTCTTTAACAATTTTTTGTAAATTTGTATTCTATTTTATTGTAATGTGCATTTGAACATATTTTAATGGAATTTGCGTAATATAAATTAACAAATTATTATTATTATTATTATTATTATTATTAACAGGTTTTCCCTTATAAAGAATAAAGAAATATGAATAGATATAAAAGGAACACCTCCACCCCCACCCCCACAAAATAAAATTCAATTCGTAGCATTATCAAACTAAGCATATACAAACCATCTGATAACTGACAAGATCATCATGTGATTCACGCAATTCAGAGTTTCTAAGAATCTTTAACATCCATGGCGTTCCTGAGGCCTCCTGTACCTCCTCAAAACTCCACTCAACACGCCTTTCAATGCAGTGATCACAGCAGTCACAAAAGCGGCCTGGAAAGCTACACTTGGTAGGTCCTCGCTGTCTGGGGCATTCACAAGACATGGACTGCCTACACTGACAATTACATCCTCTCTGAAAACTACCCCTATTTCTTTCATTATTAACATTTTCATCACTATGGTGTCTAGTACCATCACCTCCACTACTGTAGTGGCTAGAATATGAATAATTTCTTTTACTGTTGAAAGTTGGTTGGAAATGATTTCGTCTTGCGGATGGTACATCGAAAGTCGGAACTTCATAAGAATCATCCCAATCATTATCAAGGTCACAACCTCTGGCATATGCGCTTTCATGTTTTGATTGCAAGTTACAACCTCTTAAGGGTGATCCATTGGTCAGAATTTCTGGGCCGTTGATAATTTCAAATGAGTTACTTAGCACAAAGTTTTTACCACCTAAGATGTCGTTTTCAGATGAATCCAACTGGT